TCGGATGTATTTCATCTCGAGTGGAATTTCTTTTGTTCCTATGAGACCCCATCGGATTGTAGCACTGGCACACTATCCACAGCGGTATCCCACGCCATTCCCGTAACATAACACATATTTATTCTAACATGATTCTACCTAGAATTTAGTTTAAAATTAATGTGAGAAAAAAGTATCGAAAAAATCTCCACAAATCCAACCACGACTTTTCAGTCGTATACGTCTTCACGCTTAGATGTTTATTACCCGCAGTAATTTCAAACTCCAAAACCCACCAAGCAATATTGTGACATACCATTCATGTTGGAGTTTTTGTCACTAAATAACACCATTGAATAAAGCTACGGTATAAATATATATACTCACCAACTTATTTTGCTGCAGCTGACAACAATGTTGCAATCAATTCAAGTTGTTGTACGACGACAACGACACAGGCGACACCCAGAAAGAAATGAATGCCTTTGTAAAAAAGAACTGGAAAATCTATACGTATCTGTACTACTTCCCGGTAAACTGGCAATTTGTTGTAACTCAATCGATATGCAAAAATATTGAAGCAAACGATAAAGTTCGTTGTCGGATTTTTTTTTTTGCTTTACTTCTTTACATACATGTTGCAACATATTTTCCATTTTTCCCGTTCAACTTGGCGTTTTTTTATCTTCTACCAGTTACAACCATTGATGACAACAATTGTTAAAGTAAAAAAACGGATTTTTTTACGAAGTTTGGATTTCTTTCTTGGAAAAAAAGAAATTCTCCCTCAAAGTGGAAAATACACACCAACAACAATATTTTTATTCATGAATATACAAACATTGCAAAAAAACATCAACAACCAGTAGATATATCAACGGTTCACAGTAATTTACAATGATTTCAAAAAAACGACTTTGTAGATATTTTCAAGTGTCATACACACAGTCTCACACACAAATTTCATAGCTTTCATGGAAGTTGCAGTACATTTGGGAGTTGATCCCTGTATAACATAAAGTTGTTGGTGTTTTTGTTGTTGTTCTTGTTGCATGTCATATATAACGAAAATTTATATGCTCTCTGACAATGGTACAACATTTACACCTTAACCATAAATTGATGTTGGTTTTTGAAGTAAATTGTAGCATACAAATGGGCTGACATCACAATGTATAGCATATGTTATGGATTAAAGTGTAAGAAAAAGAAGAAGAAAAAAGCCCGGAATACAATGTTAGAAAATATATATATCCTCTGGAATAATTTAGAAAAAAAGATTTAAACTACTTCGAAGCAATAATGAAGGATTTATTACAGGTAGAATTAAATGAATTGAAGACATTCGAAAGAAAGAAACAAATTGGCAATATCTACAAATCTATTTAAAGGTGGGATAAAGGTGTAGTAGAAAAAAATTCTAAAAATAAGTAGAAAATTCTCAATCTAGTAGAATTTCCAATAACTAAGTAGATACTTGTCTTAAAGTCCTTCAAGTCCTTAAGCCTGGTGTAAATTGCCCCATAAACTTGAACAATATAATTTATACGCCATTTCTCTTCTCCCAAAAAGAAAATTATTTCAGAACTCAGTTTTATGCCCTTTTACTCTATTCTAAGTACTGAAAGGACACCTTTTGTTCTTTTTTCGAAAAAAATCCTAGTTGAAACTTTGAACAATAAACATTTTTCTCTCCTTTCGGGGATTAAGTGATTTACATTTTTCGCTAGAACCTTGAACACAAAAAAGAGAAAAAAATTAGCATAAATTGAAATAGAAATCCTCTAAATATGCTTAAAAACAAAAAAGGTGTTTTCGTGAAAAAAAAAAAAACAGCTTGCTGCGGAATCGTTGTTGTTCCTTGTGAAATGAGCGACAATAAAAAGTGAAACAGTTGAAAGATAAAACAAGCGTACACACGCATACACTCGCACACGCACACCTAGACAACAGTTATCGTTAAAACTTTAAAGCTGTGGCATAAAAAACAGGATATGCTTGGCTAAGATAACGAACACATTTTATAATCATTGGTGGAGGTTAAAGAGGAGGATAGGTGCACCATTTATATTTTTTAAAAACATACAGTGGAGTGTTCCTTGAAAGCGGATGGGTTGAATATTTTTCAAGGGCCCACAGTACAAAAGTGGTGAACATTTTAAATAATATTTTTCACGGACCAACAAGAAGGGTGGATTTGTTAACAACAATTTTCAAGGACCACAGAGTAAAAGCCTGGAGGTTTTAAATAATATTTTTCATGTACCAACTGACCATTAAGCGTGGATTTTTCAAAAAAAACATTTTGTCAAGGATAAACATCCCACTAAGCGTGGATTTTTTAAAGAAATTTTATCAAGGACCAGCATCGCACTAAGCGTGGATTTTTTAAAGAAATTTTGTCAAGGACCAGCATCGCACTAAGTGTGGATTTTTTAAAGAAATTTTGTCAAGGACCAACATCGCACTAAGCGTGGATTTTTTAAAGAAATTTTGTCAAGGACCAACATCGCACTAAGCGTGGATTTTTTAAAGAAATTTTGTCAAGGACCAACATCGCACTAAGCGTGGATTTTTTAAAGAAATTTTGTCAAGGACCAACATCGCACTAAGCGTGGATTTTTTAAAGAAATTTTGTCAAGGACCAACATCGCACTAAGCGTGGATTTTTTAAAGAAATTTTGTCAAGGACCAACATCGCACTAAGCGTGGATTTTTTAAAGAAATTTTGTCAAGGACCAACATCGCACTAAGCGTGGATTTTTTAAAGAAATTTTGTCAAGGACCAACATCGCACTAAGCGTGGATTTTTTAAAGAAATTTTGTCAAGGACCAACATCGCACTAAGCGTGGATTTTTTAAAGAAATTTTGTCAAGGACCAACATCGCACTAAGCGTGGATTTTTTAAAGAAATTTTGTCAAGGACCAACATCGCACTAAGCGTGGATTTTTTAAAGAAATTTTGTCAAGGACCAACATCGCACTAAGCGTGGATTTTTTAAAGAAATTTTGTCAAGGACCAACATCGCACTAAGCGTGGATTTTTTAAAGAAATTTTGTCAAGGACCAACATAGCACTAACCGTGGATTTTTTAAAGAAATTTTGTCAAGGACCAACCTAGCACTAAGCGTGGATTTTTAAAGAGCTTGGATTTTTTTAAGACAATATTTTAAGGACTAGCCAGGCTATAGGCTTGAAGTTTGTAAAGAATATATTTCAAAGACTATCCAGGCTATAATAAGCATGGATTTTTTAAAGAATATATTTGAAGGACTAGCCAGGCTATAAGCGTGGAATTTTGAAGGAATATATTTGAAGGAGTAGCCATAGGCGTGGATTTTTAAGGAATGGAGTGGATTTTTTAAAGAAAATATTTTTAAGGACTATTCTGGCAAAATGCGTGTTTTTTTAATATTTTTTAATATTTTTTTAATATTTTGAAGGTCTATCCAGGCTGTAGGCGTGGATTCTGTAATGGATATTTTTGAAGGACTTTCCAGGCTATATGCGTGGATTTTTTAAAGAATATATTTTTAAGGAGTATTCAGGCTAAATGCGTAAATTTTTAAGGATTTATTAAAGAATACATTTGGAGGACTAGCCAGTCTATAGGCGAGGATTTTTTATCGAATAAATTTGGAGGCCTACTGGCGAGGTTTTTTTAAAGATTTTTTAGGGGGTATCTAAACTACTACCGTAGATTTTTCAAAGAATATTTTCGAAGGACTATTCAGGCTACAGGCGGAGATTTTTCAAAGAATATTTTTGAAGGACTATCCAGTCTACCCTTATGTACAGAAAACTTAGATTTTTCATAGAAAGTTTTTGTAATGGACTTTTAATGCAGATAACAAGGATATTGTCGAGGATACTTTAAAAAGAATTTCCAGGAGGAAACGTTGATTTTTCAAAGAATATTTTTAAAGGACTTTAAATACAAAACATAGATTTTCCAAAGGCTTATTTTGGAACACATGGATTTTAAACATTTTTTAAAGGTCCTCAGCTATCTTTAATGTTATTTATAATGGAATCAAGGACACCAAAACGTTAATAAAATTGTTAAAGGACTTCTAGAACACCCGAACATGTATTTTTAAAGAACTCTTCTTTGATATTTTTAAAAGTCCTCTTGGACATCAACAAATGTAGATTTTGTTAAATATTATTTTCCGTTAGCTTCAGGGACTTTTATGGATTCATTGTGAAAGGAATAAGGATCTTTTTTATTTGTAGGTCCCAATGGATTTTTCATATGGAAAGTTGGGTTTCAAATAATATGTTTATGGAAACCAAAGTGGATTTTTTCGAAAGTATTTTAAAGGACTTTTAGTACGCAGACGAATACTTTTTTCAAAGAATATTTAGGACGAATGAATATCAAAAATTAAATGATTTATAAGGCATGTGAATTTATTAACAAATTTTAAGGAAGATCTATAAATTTGTTATAATTTTAAAGACATCAAGTGTCAGTTTTGAAAGTATTTCTGTGAATTTCAGTTCTTAGACCCACTAAAATTTAAATTATTTAAATTTCATAATTTATGTTTCTTCCCCCTCCGACCACTTGAATTTCCCCACATTTCCTTTCTTCGTTTTTTGCTGTTTTTTAATGACAAGCCTCTTAACTTTAACATTGTTAAAAAGTGAGTTGGATCCCCTTCAGCACTTATACAATTGCAAAACTTAAGCCAACGAAGAGGGTGGAGGGGTGGTAGCTCCAACAAACAGCTACATTAATACAAATATGTACACACATCTGTAAGTATGTATATATGATGCGATTGTGTGTATGTGCGCATTGGGTGTATATGTCTGCTGGTCTATTTAAGCTACGGATGTTAGTGTTTAACTTTTAATACTACTCTGCAAGCACCGTTTGCTTTTTAACTTGGCAGAAAACGAAAAACAAAAATAAAAAAAATATTCGCACGGCAACGAACGTTCTGAACGTCGACACAGACGACTCAGTTCGCGTGCTATTGTTTAAGCTTAAAGCTTCCTGTTTGACTTTACGCTACGTTTCACCCATTTTGCCAGATGATGCTGCTGTTGCTGATTCGGCTGCTGCCGCTGATGATGATGACAGTATGAGGGGGAATGACGACTATGCTGATGCTGTTTCTTGCTGGCTTTTCCTGTTCATATGGATTGTGAGTGTGTGTATATTTTTCACAACGGTTTTCCCAGGATCCAAATACAAATACAGCTAGATTGCTTATACATGTTCATATTTCATATATGAATGTATATGTGTCCACATCCTCCATGCCTACCTCCCGCCCTCACCTCATTCATTCTTTCATTGTCAACAAGAACGTTCCTGTTCTAATGTTAAAGACAACAAAAGGTAAAAAGTTTCCATTTCATATGCCACTCCCGTGAATGTGTTAGAGTGGGCGTGTGTGTTTGCATGTGTTGGTGCTCTATGCACACAATTACTATACTTAATTCAGGCTAGTGGTGCGCGTTAATTCCATAGAGAACAAGACTTGGATAAATTTGAATGGGATCTTCAATTGTTTTCGTTTTTCTCTGTAGTTGAAGAATTTCTCTTGCTGTTGTTGTTGTTATTGTTTTTTGTTTTCCATTGTAGTTGAAGTTTTCTCGTATATGTTGCTGTTGTTTTTTAAGTTGACTCAATGTTGTTGCCAACATTAAACAATTAAAAACGTATGAAAAGAATGTTAGGTGGTTTCTTGGCAATTCTTTTGCAGAGTGTGTTTTTATAAGTTTTTGTTGTTTTATGGGCATTTAAAAAACAATAAAATAAACAAAAATAGAATATGGGAAGCAAATACTGTTGATGGCAAACAATACGGTTATGAAAAACAGAAACGAGAAGAGATGGGAAAGATATTATTTCCTGTTTGGTAGGTGGATTGTTATTTCACTGAAAACTCGACAATAACAGATAGATAGGAGACCTTAAAGGACTACTGTCGGAATATTATAAAGCATATTTTTCAAGGATCAACAGACCAATAAGCGTGAAGTTTTTTAAATAATATTTTCCAAAGGCCAATAAGAGTGGATTTTTTAAAGAATATTTTTCAAGGACCAAAATGCCTATAAGCGTGTTTTTTTAAGAATATTTTTCAAGGACCAAAATGCCTATAAGCGTGTTTTTTAAGAATATTTTTCAAGGACCAAAATGCCTATAAGCGTGGAATTTTTAAAAAAAAAATTTTCAAGCACCAAAATGCCTATAAGCGTGGTTTGTTTTAAGAATATTTTTCGAGGACCAAAATGGCTATAAGCGTGGTTTGTTTTAAGAATATTTTTCAAAGACCAAAATGCCTATAACCGTAGATTTTTTAAAGAACATTTTTCAAGGACCAAAAAGCTAATAAGCGTGGATTTTTTAAAGAATATATTTCAAGTATCAAAAGCCCAATAAGCGTGGATTTAAAAAAAAAATTTCAAGGACCAAAAGGCCAACAAGAGTGGATTTTTTAAAGAATATTTTCAAGCACCAGAAGGCCTATAAGCGTGGAGTTTTTAAAGAATATTTTTCATGGACCAAAATACCAATAAGCGTGGATTTTTTAAAGAATATTTTTCAAGGACCAACACGGCAATAAGAGCGGATTTTTTAAAGAATATTTTTCAAAGACCAACACGGCAATAAGAGTGGATTTTTTAAAGAATATTTTTCAATGACCAAAAAACCAATAAGCGTGGATTTTTTAAAGAACATATTTCAAGGAAGGTATAGAATATTTTTAAAGGACCAACACGGCAATAAGAGTGGATTTTTTAAAGAATATTTTTCAAGGACAAAAATACCAATAAGCGTGGATTTAAAGAACATATAAAGAATATTTTTCAAGGACCAAAATACCAATAAGCGTGGACCAAAATACCAATAAGCGTGGATTTTTTAAAGAATATTTTTCAAGGACCAACACGGCAATAAGAGCGGATTTTTTAAAGAACATATTTCAAGGAAGGTATAGAATATTTTTCAAGGACCAAAATACCAATAAGCGTGGATTTTTTAAAGAACATATTTCAAGGAAGGTATAGAATATTTTTCAAGGACTAACACAGCAATAAGAGTGGATTTATGTCTTATATAGAAATTATGGAAATTTTATTTTTGCTTAATTCCTTAGTCTATGAAAAATTTCCAATTTTCTAATTACAAAATTAATTCATCAAATCCTCAAATTCCGTACTATGCCAATTTGATATTTGAAATAATCTACATCACCTTTCTTTTCCTTCGCCATCGAAAATCCATTAAAAAATATTTTCTATTCCATTTTCCCAGAAAAAAAACTACTTTCTCCATTGCTGGTGTTATTGGTTGGTGCTGAGCTGAGCACATACCAATCAAAATTGTCTTGGTATTAAATTCCCTCCGGCGATATGACCTACAATAATACAATAGCAAATAGCTGTAGCAATCGCAAAAGCTCTATAGCTCTAGCTGCAACATATGTGGATATGGCGATTGTAATCTTGGTATTTCCTTGTGCCACAAATCCTCCAAAGTTATTTATTAGTCAGATTGACATTCTATTTGCTAACGGTTAAATCACACTTGTAGTAGTGGTTTGGTAACGGCAACGAAACAACAAAAACAAAAATATATATTGAACGAGCCAACGATAGATAAAGACAATATAGCGAATAAAAAAGCAGCAGCAACAACAACAACGTCAACAAGATACAAACAAGTGTTTCTGGTATTCTCTGTAACAATGAAATGCACAGCTACCCAATCGACAGATGTGTTCCAAGCGCCAATGGTAATGGGAAAATTCAATGGAACCCAATTCCCCAAATAATAAAAGAACAAGGAGCAGAAACAAAAATCGAACACACGTTGTTATTTCGATCAGGCTTCAAGCCAGTGGCATATACAGGGGAAAAAATATATCCAGATATCTATCCTAGATTTGTTGTGTCTGTAACTCGTGGATTATAAGCTCCATCTATGCAGCAATAAAGGTTTTACTTGAATGGATATGGTTTTATGCCATGAGATGCTTTTTGTTGTTGTTGTTGGTTATTGTTTTTGTTCTCTATTTTACGCTGTTGTGATGTATGAGTTGGAATTGCAAATATATTTGTTTCATACTCTAATATCGGTTACAAATCTCTCTGGGTAATATGATATTTTCAATTTCCATTTTGGTTTCATTGTTTGTCGCTGCTATATAGCCGTTGTTGTTGTAGTTGTCCATTTTTTGCATTATGAATTCCCTGTGTGTGTGCTTTAGATGGGAGAGTGTTAGTGTGAGCCATCTATCATAAAGCCCAAATACACTTTTTCCAACTGCCTTTTAGCGTTTCGTTTTTTCTCATTTTGTCACATTCAATGGAAAAACGTGTATGTTTTCTATATGCTCAGATCCGCACAATTGATAACCGAAAATTTTCCACTATGAAGGAAAAAAGAGAACTGGTTCTTTTTTTTCCTGTGTGAAATGAATGCATTGATTTTGAATGTTTGCCGTGGGTTTGGAATATGGCATTACCAGGTACGAGTAAGAGTATACACCACCATCACCGCAACTATCCATCACAACTTTAGTTGTGAACAGAACTGAACTACAGTTGGTTAGTGGTTGTTGAAATATATATTTGATGAAATTCAAAGCCACACAAAAACATGCAGTTAGAAACAATTGAAAACTTCAACGAAAATAATCGTTTAGCAGCAAAAAATAATAAAAAACACATTTTGTTCACAAAAATCCTGTGGCAAAAACAGGAGAAAGGGAAGTACAGATTGGAGTGATGTATAATTTGTAAGAGGATTTTTTAAAAATATTTTTCAAGGACAAACACAACATTAAGCGTGGATTTTTTAAATAATATTTTTCAAGGACCATCTGACAAATAAGCCTAGATTTATTAAATAATATTTATCAAGGACCAAGTGCACTGTAAGCATAAATTTTTAAATAATATTTTTCTAGGACCAAAATCGTGGGTTTCTTTAAGAATATTTTCAAGGACCAAAGGCCAAAAGCCTTATTTTTTTAAATAATTTTCAAGAACTGAGTGTTCTACAAACGTGGATTTTTTTAAAGAATTTTTTTAAAGGACCAAAAAGCCTGATTTTTTTAATATTCTTCAAGAACCGAGTGCTCTACAAACGGTGATATTTTAAAGAATATTTTTAAAGGACCAAAAACCAAATAGCTCGATTTTTTAAATAGCTTTCAAGGACCGAGTGTTCTACAAACGTGGATTTAAACGACCAAAGACCAAAAAGCCTGATTTGTTTTTAAATTGATTTCAAGGACCGAGTGTTCTACAAGCGTGGATTTTTGAAGTAATATCCTCCAAGAAAATTCTCCAAGGGCAAACAACGATTTTTTTCTCAGGACCAACAAACAAACTTAGATTTTTTAAAGAATATTTTTCAAGGATCAACAAACAAATAAGCGAGATTTTTTAAAGCATATTTTTCAAGGACCAAAAGGCCAATAAGCATGGATTTAAAAAAAAATCAATGACCAAAAAGCCAATAAGCATGGATTTTTTAAAGAATAATTTTCAAGGATCAAAATGCCAATAAGCATGGATTTTTTGAAGAATATTTTTCAAGGATCAAAATGCTAATAAGCATGGATTTTTTAAAGAATATTTTTTAAGGACCATGAAGCCTATACGCGAGGATTTTTTTCAAGGACCAACAGTCAAATAAGCATGGATTATTTTTTTTGCGTATATTTTTTGAATGTTAGAATTTTTAAAAAATATTTTCAAAGATCTAAACTCAATTTTTTTAAAAATTTTTTCCAAGTACTTTATAAATAATCCCCTCTAATTTACCTTCATTCGTGTGAATTTCCCCCTCTACTTCCCAAACCTCATTCTATCACTCTGATATTCAACAATTCAATTGAATATGTTTTGAAAACAAAACCGCAAATGAATATATCAAATCAAACTTCACTACTAAAACCAACCAGACAGGCAACACACCAACCTAACTACCAGTCAGCCAGGCAGTTTCGCACACATGGTGTATGGAACATGAAAGATGAATAAATGTGAGACAAATCACACACAGCTGTGTCATATCAAAGATTTTGGGAAAAAAAACGCAGGATATTCACGTTGGTTATGCATATGACTGTTATAGTCAGTGGCAGGCTACCAATGGTGACGTCAC